ATCAGTGTTAATAAAGCCTTAACTCGACAGATATAAGGTTCACATAGTGTATATTATCAAACCCAATTTAACCTTAAGGTGTTAATCTTTTATATTAGTCATTTGGCTAATAAATCTTTAATAATGACTGTTTTATGAAAAGGAGCATGGCGTGGTTCATTGATTAGCATGTCGAACAGTAGATCTGCGGGTCTATGGTTCCTTTCCGTTACCAATAAAATAAAATAAAAAATCTCACTCCGTATTTTGAGGTCGTGGTTGCGTTATAAGCGTGACGGCCAATTCACACTAATTAGTCAGACAAGAGTAAGTCACAATTTGGCGGTGGGTGCTGTTGGCAAGATGCCTTCCCTCTAGTCTCTTAGTTCAAAATCAGGTACGTCTGTTCACAGATAGCTCTTGTGTAGCTTTGCGGGAATATTCGCAAAAAAAAACAACAAATAAATTTGTGAAAATTGATTTTTATGAATTACGTACATGTGCAATTTGACAAATTTTTTGAGCGGCAAATGGTATACTCAGCTCTGCCCTTGGTGAAAGCCCGACAGATCCGGTGAAAGAGTACAAGTAAAATTGAACTCTCAGTCCATAATGGGCTTTCTTTTTTGAAGCTCTTGTAAAACCCTATAAAATTCTTACCTTAGAAGTTTTGCAGGTTATTTTAAGTAGACTGGACTCTTCCGTCTTTTTTTTTTTTCCTTGAAAACGCGGAAAACACACAAAATGTGTTATAGATGAGCAAAATTTCTGCGAGGATTTATAGTAACGTGTATTCTCCAATAAAATTGTTATAAGACAGGAGAAGTGGATTGGAAGTGAGGAGGTGTAACAGTCGAATCAATAAACTTCGAAGGAATGGCAAAGCAGTTGCGTTACTTCTTGTTCAAAGTAGTCCATTTCACAGTAGAGATGTGGTCAAGATTTCTATTGTCTGATTTTATATATGTAATGCATTAAATTTAATAATAATGTGAGTTTTGCTTCTACGGAAAACTATATTCTACATCAAGAAGTAAGAAGTATCCTAAAAACAGCTTATTTATGAAAAACTTCTCAAATTCAGGCTTAAGCGCTTATTCTAACCCTAGTATAGACCAAAAGTTAAATGATGTGAATCAGAAAAGAGCGGGAAACTTAAAAGCAGCAATATGTATATTCTTCGCATTTTTGCTAGATGATTTATTACTGTACATTTTGGTTACTATGGCAAACAAGCCAAAATGCTGAAAATTTTATTTATAATCTTTGGCTTGTAGAATGTTGTTATGGTGTGAGTGGTGTTCAAATTCCACTACTTACAATAGCTACTGCAGTAACGATATAGGGGTTATTCTATAAAATATTTTTGTTTTTCAATATATGGGAAAGTTTAGTAAGAATTTGATTTGCTCTTGGACTACTATATTAGCATACCAAATTTGGTCTGGATCGGTCAACTCGTTTAGGAGAAGATGTGCTCACAGACGGACAGAAAGTTTTCTTTCATATTGGAAATTAACAGCACCTGTAGTCTGTATGTCTTAATTTTTATACTCAGCTCTGCCTCGCTTCGCTCGCCAGAGCTGGATTAAAAAATTCGTTTCTTTGTTGTTAAGTGTAAAACTACAGAATAGGCTATATGTGCTCTGCCCATCGCAAGTATGGAAACCCGATTTTTAGCGTTATAATCTCTCAGATTTACCACTGAACCACTGGGGGAGGGGCATGAATGAATAAGTATAACTAATGAAAGATAATATGAGTAATGTGCTTTTTATTTATTTATTAATAATTACGTATTTTAGAAAAGATAATACAATTCAAAGCTACTTTTTAATTTCTTTCAGAAGTAAACAAATTTTTACGTTACGACTTTTATTTCATTTTCTGATATCGTTAAATTTTAAAACTATGAAAACTTTACAATATATACATTTCAGTAGTTAGAGCATCTACCCTGCGCCCAAAAGAGCCAGCTCAATGGGGGTTCGTCGGTGAATGGAGATCAAAGGGCACCGCCTAACAGGGTATATCCTTTGAAAAAGGGAGGTAAGGTGATGTCATAGCTTCACAAAATAGCACCAGAGGGATGTGTTACTAGGGGGCGAAAAGTTCCAAGTTATGTTATTAATGGTGTGTCCCCCCAGTGGCACAGCGGTATGTCTGCAGACTTACAACGCTAGAAACCAGGTTTTGATACCCGTGGTGGGCAGAGCACAGATAGCCCATTGTGTAGCTTTGTGCTTAACTTCAAACAAAACAAAAAATACTAGTGGTGTGTTGAGGACTTCCTAGGATGATGAGGTCACTTATGGTTTACAAATGAACCGCTAGAGTTTCTGGACATGGTTATCAACCTAGTATCATGTTATCCTGCTATAGTTATTAACACTCTCCATTATCATTAGCACCAATTTTATACTTTCAATTCAATTCTAAACAAAGTGACTAAAGATTTGAATGCAAGGTTTTTTATCACATAAAACCTATGTTTCAGATACAATCCTTTTAAGTCTATCAGGTTAGGAGCCTAAGGTTTTCCGGTTCTTCAGCTTCCTCTTTTGAGCAGTTAATTAATCAGTTCTACAAGCATTAGATGTTGTGAATAATGGGAGACATTTAGGCAGTCAATAAAACATAGTTATCATTCATTTTTGTAATGTTTATAAGTAAGCATTTCTGATTCGTGTTCAGAATTGAATGCATTCAAGGTATGTTGAAGCTTGTCGTAGTTCCAAGATATAAAAAACGGTTCTGAATTTCAATAGATAAAATTTGCATTAGGACGATAGCCAAAAACAATACAATATCAACAAGAATATACGTTACCAGACAGATAAATGTCTCAAAATATCATTATCTGCCAAATATAAAATAAGATGTCTTAGCAGTTCATTTTAAAAATTCAGTCTATTACAATAGTCAAACTTAGAAATTCCTAAAGTTGTTATTTAACACATTAAACAAAATAACTGGAAGCTGAACTTGTTCGTTGTTATATAATATCATTGGAATATTTGTCAACGTTGACTTGAACTTGGGTTTAATAGTTTACTGTACAGGAATTAATAAAAAAAAATATCGCATTTGTTTTCTTTAATGTATAAGAATACAAAATAGTCAGTGAGGTTTCTGAAGCTGTAAAATTTAGTACAAATTTATCCAAAGGTGATGATCCTGGTAACTCAGCGGTAAGCTTCAGGGCTAATAAAGTTAATATTCAGGGTTCGATCATTGCATTGCAGATGGGCGATTGTGTATTAAAGCAAAACTATACTATGTTATATTATACTATAATAACAAAAGATATATTAATAACAAGGTTTTAAATATTTACTGAGTCGTGTTTTTTTTAGATTCTTTATAATTATTGAGTAGAAAAATTAAAAAACGCGTAGCTGTCTCAAAACAGCTCTTTGAATATGATTTATGTATAAACATTTCGCTATTATTGTTCTACTAGGACAATTTCGGTGTAAGGAGATAGTTCGAGATGTAAGTTAAATAACCATATAAAATTTAGAATGTTTGTTACCATCAGTGATATTTACTTGAATATTTTATAGTCTTTCATTCTGATAATGACGTTTTACTGATGTGGGTGGGAGAAAACGAAACTGCCTCTTTTGAAAATTTGGTGGTAGAGGACAGTGTTCGACTTCCGCAGTTCGAAATCCGAAATACATCTGCCGAAAAAATGACTCAAGAATGGAAAACTGGTAATGAAATCTTAGTTATTGAAACTATGGAAAACAGCCTCCATTTTCGTTAACATTATACACTACTCAACTTTTACTAAAGATCAAGATATCCAACAAAGACAAGTTTCATATTGTTGAATCTATTGAATGGTTGGTTGCATTAATAGGTAGTATAGTTTGTGGAAAATGATGCATATCAAACTTTAAAATTAATAATGGCATAGTGAGCTCATAACAACGGGCGCCTTCCCTCTTGCCTCTCTCCACACACATAAAAGGTTTGGGAAAATTTAGAGTCATGAAAACATTTTTTAAAGAGTTACGTCTTATGTGTTTGCACAAGATTAATGCTTTGCATGCCATATCGTAACGACTTCAATCGAGTAAGCTAGTCGACACACCCGTTGTTGTGGAAGCTGGGCCCAGTTTTAAATAAGGAAGTTCTGAAGCTCCTGTACAGTCCTGAACTGCACTGGATGATAACGCAGACGTTGTTGTGGAAGCTGGGCCCAGTTTTAAATAAGGAAGTTCTGAAGCTCCTGTACAGTCCTGAACTGCACTGGATGATAACGCAGACGTTGTTGTGGAAGCTGGGCCCAGTTTTAAATAAGGAAGTTCTGAAGTTCCTGCACAGTCCTGAACTGTACTGGATGACGTCGCACACGTTGTTATGAAAGCTAGGCCAAATTTTAGATAAGGAAGTACTGAATCATCTGCCTGGATTGCACTGGATGGACTGCTATCGCCATCTGCAACATACCTCAATAAGGTTCAGATCAAGAGATCTTGCTGGTCAATCCATTCTCTCAATTGCTTTTTTTTTCAAGATTAGCAGCGATGATCCTTCTTGATGTGAAGTATGGCTCATTAGCACCAACATAAGGTCTCACTATAAGATGGAGAAATTTCATCTCAGCACCTAAGTATAGTGAGGGGGGGGGGCTATTCTGGATGACATGTAGGTTCGTTCTTTCCTGTGTGTTGATTCTAGCTCGCACCATGACAGATCCTTCTCAATATCTGTTGTGTTTTGCAACATGCTACAGCAAGAAACGTCCACCACCATCTCTCCAGACCCTGTCAGTATATATTGAAAATAGAATCTGGACTCGCCATTGAAGAGGACTGACGTCCAATTACCGATATTAAATCTTAAGTCATTTATGTCTCATCTCAAACGTACCTGGATATATTAGAGTGTCATAAGTACGGAGCTAATATCACCCTCAAGAAATCATCTGGGAACCGTCTGTGTATAAATTCTATCCCTTGTTACATTTTAAAGGTAAATTTTCAATTGCGTAGCGTTTGCGGCAGGTCATGGACGTCACTCAGTGTGAATATGGAGATTTTACAGACGGTTTGTATCTCCCTAGCGTGATCCTCCTGACATTGCCATTAGTTTGGTATCGACTCCACATGTGGGAAATTACATTTTGGGATACATTAAATAATTAAGTTACATGACATCGAAATGTCTCATTTTCAAGTATCCGTATGCCATTGTTCATGTCCTCATTATTTATCCAGGATTAAAATTGTCTAGTAAAACAAGAAACAAACAAACAAAAAAAAGAATCTACTTTCAAATTTAAAATGATATATTATATTTATTTACATCCCAGGCTCGCGCACGGAATTCAACAAACACGTGCATTGCGTTTAGACAGGTTGAGAAAATAACTTAGCACCGATACTTATAATAATAATACGTGTTAATTGAACGAATTCTAATTTTAATTTAGCCTAAACGATGATCCTTAGCAAAAGTTGAGTAGCATAATATGAATAGATATAATTATGACTAGATAAGACATAATATTATTGTTTTACATTGGCAAAAATCTTCGTAATAATATATGCTTTAGAGCATACAATTTTTCCCAACTATAAATAGTAATTTTGTTGTAACTTTGGAAACGGTAGATTCAGACAGACAGATATCCAATAAGACGATATAATAAAAATTCAAGTTATCAAAGCCATACAGAAATATTATTGCTTTATTATGCACGCCACCTTTCAAATGATTTTATCATTCTCTAGTATTTTTATCTCACTACTTAATACAAAGTTGTTTAGTAGATAGAAATAGCTTGCTACCAGTTATTTTGCTGTTAAATCTCTGTAACCTATATTGCTTTTTTTTGAAGTGTTTTGTTTTTGATACGCTTATTTTGGGGAACACATACTTTCTTAACTTTTTTTTTGACACCAGAAATCAGTGAAGAAATTAATAATAAACCCAGTAGGTCATGTTATAACTTTATAATATTCTCTCCCAAAGAATTTGGTATTTATTTCATCAATAGTGTCAATTAAAATTACCTTGATGTTGTTCGTCTCCGCCTGTGAATCCAATGATTCATGGTTCACGACACATCGTCACAGAAAAAAAAACAACAAAAAAACATGATCCATACTTTGGGACCAATAGTATTATAAGCCTGATGGTTAAATCCCACTATTCGTTTTGACAAGAGTAGGTCAAGAGTTGGCAGTGGATACTATTGACTAGCTGTCTTTCCTCTAGTCTACCAGTTCAGAATTAGAGATTTACCAGTTCAAAATTAGATATGGCTGTATTCAGATAACCCTTGTATCGTTTTGTTATAAAGTTCTAAAAACAAACAAATGCTACACATTTTAATTTTTTAAAACTGAAAATGTATAATAATGAACTCTGACTTTTGCGAAATTTTAATTGCTTTATTTTAGATCCAATTTTCTTGTCAGGGTAGATTTTTTTTAATGTAGATTTTCTCATTATTTGGTCAAGACCTAGAATGATTTTCTTGTGATTTAATAAGTTTATTTACTTTTGTACTTCTCTAAACTGTTATGGAGACAAGAATTAACTGGCCATGTTTTATCATGATAAATCTTTTCAAAATCTGTAAACATTTTGATTGTTTATTTTATTACTAGTTACAGCTGTAAATTGTAATAGAATACACTTAATCAGTAAGTAAACTCAAAACGAAACTGTTTTTGTTTGTTTGGTTTAGTTAAGCACAAAACTACACAATGGATTATCTGTGCTGTGCCCACCACGAGTTTTGTAACCCGATTTTAACGTAAAAGGCTCAGTCTCAACGCTGAGCTACTGGATGCCTTTGTTAAGTTTATTTTTGTTTTGGGTCCTTTTTAAAGTAATATTATTTGACGTAAATAAAACCTGTTTATACATGAAGGAATAATTTAAATATAATTTCATTATCTTAAATTTTGTTATAAGATTGACGGTCAAATCCCACTATCCGGTTAAAATATCCCCAAAGTTGGCGGCGGGTGCTGTTAACTAGCTGCCTTCTCTCTCTAGTCTGTTATACTTTGCACGAGAATTCTAAACAAACTGTTCTATCCAAAATTATACTTTTACATTTCTGGTTATCGAAATGTTGTATTTGTATTTTGTATTTATTGCAAAGCTACTAAGGCTACCTGCTGCCGTTTTTAATTTTGAACTATTGACCAGAAGGGCGGCAACAAGTCAGCAATACCCTACCAACCACCATACAACTTTAATTGATTGACTGTCACTCTTATAATGCACCACAGCTTAAAGTATAGGGAATTCGAATCCGGTTAGCTAGCTGCGAAATCCAGAGCTCTACCGCACGGCCAACTAGCGTCACATATAAGTATTATCAACAGATTTGTGGGGGAAGTTTCAAACTGTAGGTTGTTTGGATAGCTAATTTTTATCAACGGGACATTTATAATTACTTCACAGTTTAATAACAGAGCTTCTGGCCACTAAAATGTGTAAGGATAAAGTTTAGTGTCTATACGCCATGTTGTTTTGTTGAACATTACTTTAGAAATACATATTGCTGTTTTGACTTAAAATATTACATACAGAGTTGACTAAGATAGTTTAACATCGGACAGGCTATTGGTGCAAATAACAACAATTTACAGTGAGTTGAAATTGAAAAAACTATACTGAAATGCTACTTTTGCTTTTAAAATTTTATCAAACAAATAAAACTTTTCAATATTTTGAAGTTTAAACAATATTTCAAAAATTTACTTTGGAAGATGGTCCAAGTTATAAGTATAATTGATCGTGTTAATTCTGTTATTTCGCATTTACATATCAAAATCAATAACGATTTTGTAAGATGGTCCAAAGTAATAATACAAGTAGTAGAATTAATTACATGTACCTGATGATGACAAAACCTTGTCGAAACGTTGTACATTTGCTGTCATGTTAAACTTATATTAAAGTTTTTCTTCATTACCCATTTAAGCCGTCTCCAGCCATTATTATGTCTTTATTTTATTCTGATTTAAATTTCTATTTGATTTGTAGGAAATTTTACCTACTTGCTGGCAACATTTGAGTTTCAGCGTAACATGCATTTCCACGTACTTACCAGCTACATACCAAGTTCACTCGTCGTTGTCGTATCCTGGGTTTCTTTCTGGCTTGACGTCAAAGCAGCTCCTGCTCGAGTCGCGCTCGGTGTGACGTCACTGTTGACATTAGCGACCCAGATGGTTCAGTCACACTTGTCCCTGCCACCTGTCTCCTACGTCAAGGCTTTAGATGTTTGGATGTTCTTTTGTCTCTTCATGGTATTTTCATCCCTAATGGAATATGCATGCGCCTATACGTTAGCAATTACTTCATCTAACAAAAAACCATCTCAGCCAGGTTTCAATCGGATGGGATTTCAAATTAAAAGAAATGTGGTAAGCAAAATTCTGCTTTCAGTAATAATCAGAATAATAATTATTAATAATAATTAATATTAATTAATAATTGCTCCTTTGCCAATTATGTTTACTGTAAACATTTTAAGAGTGACGAATCACTTTATGATTACTTGCTTATTTATTTTTGAAGAAGAAAACTGGGGCTTTGTAAGGCTCAACTTCGTAACGCCCCTTCCTGATTAAATGCTTTATCCAACTGCACCACCTGGTCAATATTCTCAGTTCTAACTTCATTGATTATTAAGGGTGGAAAGTGGTAAGACTTTTGTATTATGTGGATCGGTTTGTAATTATAAGAATTTCTGAGGGATGGTAAAGAAGAATGTAATGGTATGCCAACCACAATAAATCTATTGTATCCAATGCCGATGAGGCCTTTCTCCCTCTACCGGGGCTCATAAGGTCTAGTGGGACTATTTGGGTGTGAACGTGATTAAGTTGGATGACGTATCATTTTGTTATTATTTATATTTAAGTAATTCATATCAGAATTAGGTTTATAATTATATTAACGTCAAAATATTTATTCATTTCAATACTTAATTTGTTATTATTAATACGATTCATTCATGAATTAACATAACTTGTGGTTCAGAAGAACTGCCGAACCAGTAAGCTTGCTTGGATTCCCTATGTTTCTAAATGAGAGTTAGAGTTGAATCATTCTTAGTCTTAGTTCTCTCTTTTTTTCTTTATTTCTTCAAAAGGACCTGACATGGCCTAGTGATTAGAACACTCAACTCGTAATCTATGGGTTTCAAGGTCAAATTCCATTACCGACCATGTCCATCCTTTCAGTCGAGGGGGCGTTATAATATTAAGGCCAATCCCACTATTTGTTGGTAAGAGAGTAGCCCAAGAGTTGGCGGTGGTGTTGACTAGCTGCCCTTCCTCTAGTCTATCACCGCCATTCGAGGGACGGCTAGCGTAGATACCCCAAGACTAGCCTTGCGCGAAATTCAAACCAAACCAAACCATGATTCGTAAGAATAAGATAATTAAACAAAGAGCAACATCAGATCAGTTTCACGAAAAACAACTTTTTGTGAAAAACAATTAGTGTATTTTGTATATCAATTTACAGGACATGTTTGCCACATACTGTTGTTGAATAAGACTGCTTGAAATAGTTAGCATCTGATATAGTCTCACTGAATTTTACGTATTCCATAAAAACCAATCATTAAGCAATGTAGTCAGTATTATAATCTTAGAATATAGTCAAATGTATTTCGTTCTCATCGTCAACCAACTGCTTTTCGGTGGAAGCTTTTGGACCGTTTTTAAAAGACTTAACTTCTTTTTGTTTACACATAAATCTAAAATGATTTCAAGTTTCGACCATTATTTCTTCACTAGTGTTAGTTATTAGCCGTATTGAACAGTTTCCCATCTCTAAAGGCCACAAGAGTTTGGTAACAGATGCATTTCTGTATGTGATAAAGTATAATGATGAGGAGTCTGTGGTCGTCACGTCGCGTCATTTTAAATACAAGTGTTTCCAGTTTGGTTTGTTTGTTTGTTTTGAATTTTGCGCAAAGCTACACGAGAGCTATCTGCGCTAGCCGTCCCTAATTGAGCTGTGTAAGACTAGAGGGAAGGCAGCTAGCCATCATCACCCACCGCCATCTCTTGGGCTACTCTTTTACCAACGAATAGTGGGATTGACCGTCACGTTATAACGCCCCCACGGCTGAAAGGGCGAGCATGTTTGGTGAGACGGGGATTCGAACCCGCGACCCTCAGATTGCGAGTCGAGCGCTCTGGTGTTTTATAAGGATGGTATTTGATAAAATTTAGAAATAATCTAATTTTTTTTTCTTCTCAGATTTTTCATGCCTCAAACACTAAAGTTAAAGATATTACGGAAGTAGCTACTGGACAAGAAGTTGAACACGCGCCAAAATCTTCTACTAAACATTCCCGGGAAAATACTATTCCTTCTCTGCAGCCCAGCTACGTGTCTACAACAATTATTGATTACATTTCTAGAATACTTTTTCCTTTTTCATTTGGAGTGTTTTTAATAGTTTATTGGTCGATTTATGCATAAGATTAGTCAAAGAAACAATTTGGATAGTTATTTTTTTTCTCAATTAATTGTAGACACAATTAAAGTTTACATCTTTAATTATTGTTGCACCAACCAAGAGTTATCGAAACAAATACTAACAATAGTTCCTTTATCCGGCCAATTCGGTCTTTTAGGATTACATATTTCTTGGGTAGGACGAAGATTGCAAATGTTGTCTCGCTTTTTCTATGTAATCACATAAAACAAACTTTTTCTTTTTCAATACACATAATAAATCACTTGCTGCTAGTTTTATATCCCATTAGAATGTTTTAAAGACGTTATTTTCTTATTAGTGTGTTACGAAAATGAAAATATTTTTAAATTCTCATCAGAGTCCTCTTTGAATTTCCGTGTCGTATTATGATTAAGTATTCTGAAAAAACTGACAGTTTCAAGAAGTTATACGAAACAGGTTATTCATTTATATAAACTACTTAAGTCGGCTTTAATTCTATATTTGCCATTTGGGTCTAACCTCATCGCAGATTTGTAAAGCCATTTTTCTAATCTATTAATTCTTGAAGATCTGTCACTGGTTGAGTTTTTTTTTTTTTATTCGACTGATATGTTATTAGTGATTGTGTTACAAACAAAAAACATCTTCAGTATTACTACTGATCATATTAACTTTTTTTGGTGTTTCATATAAATTTTGGCCTGACGTGGCCTAGTGGTTAGAGCACTCGACTCACAATATGCAGATTCGAAACCTTGTCCCACTATACATATTTGCCTTTTGAGTCGTGGGGGCATTATAAAGTGACGGTCAATCCCACTATTCGTTGATAAGAAATTAGCCCAAGAGTCGGCGGTGGATAGTTATGAATAGCTAGTCATCTAGTCTTTTACTGCTAAATTAGGGACGGCTAATGCAGATAGCTCTGGTGTAGCTTAGCTTTGCGCGAAATTTAAAACAAACCAAGCCTATAAATTTTTCATAGAAAATGAGTGATTTCACTCAATGGTTTTGATTAGATCTCGATACTGAATGTTGTGACGCACAAAATCATGAATTTATTTAGTATTATGCAACACGCGGTGTGTGAAGAAGGTGGTAATTTGAGTGTTAACTGATGGCTATACTTTTTATTATATTGCGTTTACTAAATATTGCAGATCAATATGTCTTAATACTAATGCACTACGTGCCATCTTAGGTTTCAGTCTTGACAGAGTTAGTTGCTTTGAATAGAAATAAAGAAAAAAAGTGGTGTTAAATATAACAGAAAGAAAGTTTTGTAAAATATTATATATATGCAGATCCAAGTATTAGTTGTAAATGAATAACGATTGTTGAATCTAGAGTGGAATATAGAAGTAATCTACGTAAATCAAGTTTTCGTTATGTTCAGGACTTTATTGAGAAGGTTTCAACATTATGCTAAATCTGTCATCAGAAAAATCTGTTTGTTTATTTTTCCAGTCATCACAAATGTCACAATACCTCGCGTATATTATTTGTACGAAACCGCACGAACGATGGGACAGTACCCCACAGATATTAATTATATAGGAGCCGCTCAAACCATGGTACAGTACCTCACAGGTATTATTTATACGAAACCGTAGAAACAATGGCAGTAGCTCATGGATATTATTGTACGAAATTGCACAAACCATGGCACAATACCTCACAGATATTATTCATACGAAACAGCTCAAACAATGGCATAATACCTCACAGATATTAAATAATTAAATAGAAGCCTCACAAACAAATCTGCAACATTTTTTTTCACATTTCCATATCTTTTCCTAAGTAGTTGTAGGTAGCATACACCAGGATTTGCAGTCGGTACAAGTACCAGTACTGGTTTATAGTATATCATATACTGAGAATAATATCTGTTATCATTTGTCACATTTTCGGAGTTTTGACAGAACGCCTACTATGGTATTTCAGCTTCGCTTTTCACAGAATTATAAATGTTTGATATGGTAGTTTTGAGTTCATACTTTAGTCGACAAGCGAATCTCACCGTGTAAATTGGCAATAGCATGAAATGTGGGGAACTGGTGACTCTCACGCTCTGGAAGAGAACGTGAATGGGTCTACGTGACTGATTGCACGTTAGGTAAGTGCTTGCGTGATTAACCCTTAGCATGCGGACAGGTTAAACTGCGCATGTCACGACGTTTTAGTGAGTCACATTCAAAATTTAATTAAACTTCTTAATTATCATGGTATACGAACAAACTTGACATCAAACCACAGATTATAAATCAAATTTTAATATTATATAAGTTCTAAATTCTTAATTATATAAGGAAATCTTTAAAACAACATCAAATTCTCCTAGTGTTAGAATTTGAATATTTGTTCTTGAGCCATCTTCTCTTCTGGAGATTCTTGTCGACACCCTGGAAAATATAATGTAAAATATTTTCTATAATTTTGTCATTGATATTTTGAAATTATATTTTTATATTTTTTAAACTTATTAGGATAAGGAGTAATCAAGGAAAATTCAGAAATCGCTTTCCATGCCTACCTCCGACATGCTCTGATTTACAATTTACTAATAAATTTTTTCTGAGGGTGACCCCCATTAAATTTATAACCAATAGAAAGCCTCGATTTGAACCGATTCATTGCCTTAGTCGTCACATCACGTGGGCTTACATATAATTGACAATTTGGTTTGATGTGAAAAAAAACAAAAAACATTTTCTCACGAGGACAAACTGGGAAGAAAAGTTGAATTTCTAACTGCTCAAGTCACGTGATTAGAGATGCTCGAGTACCGGTACCGACAACCTACTACCGCCGGTACTATTGCAAACCTTGGCATACATATTGAATTATATTGTAGAGCTTTCATTAATATAAGCTATATAACACGAAGTTTCTATATGCGAGTTGCTCTTTTAAAATTTGTTTCGCAACAACCATTCGGCACTTTTGTGTTTAGGAATGAACTTATGGAAAAAAAAAACATTTATTATGAATATCATTTAGGTTCATAAATGACCTAGAATAGTTGTTCTTTTGCTATAACTAAGTCATTGTAACCTGTTAAATATTGTCAATGAGCGATAAATAAAAAATGTTAAATGAGCGTGTGGCTGTCATCACTGAATTTACATTTCTCGTGCTATCTGGATGTTTTTTGTTTTTTTTTAACGTTATACTATTATGTGAAAGTATTAAACTGGATATGCCGCAACGAACACTTACTTGGCTTCGCACCCATCACTTGATTATTATCCAATGGCCAGGTGGTTAGGGCGCTCGAATCGCAATTTGAAGGTCGCGGGTTCGAATCCCCGACCCGTCTAACATGCTCGCCATTTCAGCCGTGGGGGCATTATAATGTGACGGTCAATTCGTTGGTAAAAGAGTTGCCCAAGAGTTGGCGGTGTGCGGTGATGATTAGCTGCCTTCCCTCGAGTCTTACACAATTAGGGACGGCTTTGCGCGAAATTCAAAAACAAAACAAACAATTCTTATCCAAAAATATGTTTCTTTTTTATTTATTAAACAATTGATACTATTTTAACACCTAGCACCATGTTTCATTTGTGTGTTTAAGTAAACATTTGCAGGACATCAGAATAAGGAATAGATTAAGTTCATCTTTTTACTATAAATTAGTTTTACATAACTTTTATTAAATACAGACTTACTGAGTGTGTTCATGTATCCCATCGCATTTTTAAACAAAACATTTTTTTGTAAACTATTTTTGCAGTAAATTGCTTCTGGGTCCACACATGTGTTGGTTATAGGTTCGCTAATAACACACGAGTCACATAAGTCGTATGCAAAACATTTTAAGCAAAAATACCGCCAGTTTTACAATTAATGGCACTAACAACTGCTGAGGTTTTTAACATAGTTGACCCAAAAATCTGGTTTCAATACTTGTAGTGGGTACACCACAGATAACCCATTGTGTAGCTTTATGCTTAACAACAAACAAACAAATTCCATGTACTTTACTTAACAAAATAGTGATTTCATTCACCTTTTGGTCATATGTTTTCGTTGCATATCTTCAAGACCTCCGGCTTAACCAAAAGAGGACCCCGATCAGTCATATTAGAGTGAGCAAAGTGCATTCTTTGTACATATACAGGATTTCCAGCTCAATCAGAGAGGACCCAATCAGTCAGGCTGGAGGGAGCAAAGTGCACTTATTTCACATGTAGAGGATCTCCAGCTCAATCAGAGGAGATCTCCAACAAAGGGGTAAATAACTCCTCAACGAGAATTGAATATATGAGAATCATAACCTGGACAAATGAACAGTACACATAAAAGCCATGTTTAGTAATTAAAAGTAATAAACCTAGAACATTCTAATAATTTGTTTTGTCATGAAGCTCGGAGGCTGCTGCGGATTAGACTTAACTACGTACATGTATGGATCGCGAGAAACATTTGAAACATATACGATATAATACTTCATTTAATCTGGTTGATTTAATATTATTTAACAAATGTATGTCTGTAACATATGAGCGGTTCTACCAACCGAAAATTAACTAATCAAAATCAACTGCAAGCCAAAGAACTACTCAACAAAGTACCCAAACTGTGCAATTTGTTAACCAAATGATAACTGTCACTGAGATGCAGTGGAAGCAATGTTAAGTTCAGGCCTAGTACAGTCTAAGGTGTAACAACTTAAAGGTCACCTCCTGTTAGAGATATTTAAGGTTAAAACAGAGATGGACTGTCGTAATGCTCACAATCTATATAAATAAACGTCTATATATGTGTGTATATGTTCTTTATACATTTCCACATTTCTTGGTCAATCAGCACCAAACCTGACACAGTGATACATGATGACATGAGGAAGATCATGACGGGGGGGG